GAGGAGACGGCGACCGACTATTGCAACCGGGCCCGGCGAATTCTCGCCACCATCAGGATGGCCGGCGCCCAGTACTCAACGGCGTCGTACGTCACCCACGTCATGCAGGGGCTCTCGAGCAGCTACAACCTCCTGAAGCGGCTATCCATGGCACCAAGCACGAGGATGACGCTCAACGAGGATAACCTGACCTCGTATATCCTACAGGACGAGGCGATGCTGGAGGCCGAGCGATCCCAGGAGCTCTTGGTGCAGGCCAACTTCGTTGCCCTGATGAAGCAAGGAGACCGACCAGGGCAGCGTGGGCAATCGGGCGGCGGCGGTAGCAGTGGCTGGAAGCCGAGTAGGGACGTCGACAAGAAGAAGTCGGCCAAAGACAGCGTTCGAGGAGGAGGAGGTCGACGTCGGGAGTGCTGGCTGTGCGGCAACCCCGACCACCTCTCCTACGAGTGCCCCGACCGCAGTGACTCCAACGACGACGACGCCAAGGGAGGCCGCGAGAGGTCTGGCAGTCGTCGCCCTCGTCGAGGAGGAAACAAGCCGCGCAAGGAGAAGCAGTCGACGACGTCGACCTCGGCAAAGGACGCCGACTCCTCTGCAGGTGGCAATGGGCGGGACGACAAGACGGCGTCGTGCTCGCTGGTTGGCGTCGTGGAGCCGACCGTCTCGCTGGCGCCAGAGGCCGGGGAGGACTTCCAGGCGGTGGCGGCAGCTGTGCAGGCAAACCCGGCGGTGGTACTGCTTGACAGCGGTTGCTCCCACCACCTCATGGGGACGAAGGAAGTCTTTGTCAACCTGCAGCCGAGCAGCTCCATCAAGCACGTGTGCGGCTTCAATGGGGCACTGCAGGACGTCCAGGGCCGCGGCACCGACGCTCTGCAAGGGGAGGCCGGGAAGCAGGTGCTCGTCCCCGACGTGCTGTACGTCCCGGGTGTGCGGGCAAACCTGTTTTCAGCCGGTCAGCTGAAGGAGCACGGCGTGAAGCTGCAGGAGGACGGCGACGGGATGCTGCTCGTCTCGGCAGCAGGGGAGGTGCTCGGTCGGGCGACGTACACCGGACGTGTCCTCTGCACCGACCTGCGCCCCTGCTCGGCCACGCCAACAACACCTACCACGGAGGTAGTGGCCCTGCGCGCGATCGTCTCGGCGACGAAGGCAACGCCGGACAGGATGCACGCAAGGCTTGCGCACGTAGGCCTGGACACCATCCGGAGCTCAGCGGAGCACGAGGTCGAAACCGGGCTGGACCTCAAGTCGACGTCAGACGCCGACTCCCCGTGTATTTCGTGCATCAGCGGGAAGCTAACGCGCCACACCTTCCCCGACAAAGGCTCCGACGCCGACGACGTGCTGGCCGTCGTGCACATCGACCTGTGCGGGCCGTTCCGCGTGGTTGCCAAAGATGGCAGCCTGTACTTCTTGCTGCTGAAGGACCGCAAGACCCGCTACGTGTGGGTGAAGCCGGTCGCCAAGAAGTCAGATGCGTTGCCGGTGTTCGTGGAGTGGCTGGCGGTGGCTGAGCGGCAGACGAAGAAGTCGGTGTTGATGCTGCGCTCTGACCGGGGAGGGGAGTTCCTCGGGAAGCAGTTCACCGACTTCGTGAACGGCAAGGGGATCATCCACGACCTGACGTGCCCATACACCCCGCAGCAGAACGGCATGGCGGAGCGGGAAATGAGGACGGTGGTGGAGTCGGTGCGGACAATGCTGCTGCACATGGGCGTGCAGCACCACTTGTGGCACCTCGCTCTCCGGCAGGCCGTCTGGGTCCGCAACTGCCTTGAGAGGTCGGCGCTGCCACCGGGGACGACGCCGTACCAGCTGCTGACCGGGAAGAAGCCCGACTTATCGCTGGCGCGGGTGTGGGGCTGCATGGCGCAGTTCTTAGTCCCCGAGCAGCAGCGTGGTGGGAAGCTGCAGCCGAAGGCACGATGGGGCCTTCACCTCGGCGTGTCGGAGGAGAGCAAGGGCTGGGAGCTCCTCGAGATCTCCGACAACCGGGTGGTCACCACGTCGGACGTGGTGTTCTACGAGAGCATGTCGCTGGACATGTGGAAGTCGGCGCACGGGCCGGTGTCAGGGCGGATGCCGGTTCACCCGCCAACGGACACCTCGACGGCGTCGGTGCCTCTGCTCGCCAAGGTCGGTGCGCTTGCTTGTGAGGACGCCGAGGACGTCCCCGGTCCCTACCCTTCACCTGCCCCTCCCCTGGACGCCGACTTGCATGGGCTGACCCCGTCGTCGGCCTTCGGTGATGAGGGGAGACGTGGGGCGTCACCTGTGGCGCCGGCCCCAAGCATCGCCGATGGCCGACGTGATGCTGTGCAAGTCGGTGTGGGAGCGAAGTTGACGCCGACTGGGAGGCAGCAGGTGGTGCAGACGCCTTTGGTGAAACCGGTAAAGGAGGCGCCTGCAGAATAGCATCTGACAGGGGAGCAGGCAGAAGCGACGCCGACCAAGGAGCAGTCGGCGACCGGGTCGTCGGCAGGGGAGCCGACCACAGGGGAGAAGTCGGCTTGGACGCCGACCACAGGGGAGAAGTCGGCTGGGACGCCGGCTGAGGAGCAGCAGGACGCCAAGGGCAGCGACGACGGCGACGATGGAGGGGACGCCGAGGAGGTCCACATCACAAAAACCCTATGCCAAGTTTGGACGAATTTTGATTTCGATTGTCTTAGCGTAAAAAAATCCAGAGCCAATTTGGACCAACGGTTGGAGTCATTTGATAGGAGCTCCGAGACACATCTTGCGACAAGGTTTGGCTCGGTTCAAGTTCCAATTTGGCACGCGAGCTTTTCCGGATGACATTCGGGCGCAATCCGTTTTGTTGCAAATTCGTGACCAAATTATTCAGAACTATATTCTGTTTTTGTTCATTTTGGATATTGAGGATTTCAAAATTGCATTTATTATTGCGGTTTACAAGAACCATTATTCAGCATTCTAGCAACAAGCAGTCTTAGCACCAGGTCAAATAGCCTACGCACTGGCGGGCCTTGAAAGCGCCCGGTGGGCAAGGACGACATCTCCAAGGTCGCCGTCGTCGATGAGGAACTTGTTCGGAAAGACGGACGCACCCATAGCCGGATCGTGGGGGATCCTCCGCTCCACGACAGCAAAATGGATCATCTGTTTGACCTTTTCGCACCACTCCTGGTAGTCTGGCCTGTTCTGCTCCGGCTGGCTACTGATTCGCTTGCGACGCTTATCCTGCAGAAGGGGCCATTCGATCTGCAATGTGGTGTAGGGTTGGGTGGGTGGTTTATGAGGAGGGTAGGTTACGGGTAAATGAGGCAACTGAAAGCGGTGATGCAGTCGTCACTATCTACGTAACTGCAAAGGCCTAATCGACCAGGGTTTTAGCTGAAGTACAGGCAAGGGGTTAAGGGGATGAGGCATGGGGGTACAAACACATATCTACATCCTTACCGAAAACAGGCCCCATGCCACCATGCGGCTCTTGAACTTGGTGAACACCGCCCCGCCCCTCTTGAAGGAGAGTTTGAACGCATAAGCGAACAAGGGGTTGCTGAAGGGTGTCCCGGTGGCCTTGTCAAAGTGCCAGTTGAGGGCCCACTGTTCTGCTTTTTGGCAGGGAGGGTATGGGTTGGAAAGGGTTTTGTAGAGAAATCAAATGGGGGGATGAGAGTCAGGGTGAGCCACATCGCACGGTGATATGTAGCTGCCAAGGGGCATATGGTAGGGCATATTGTGTTTTCGAGTTGCACTGCACATACCATCTCTGTACTCGGCTAGGAGTTGATCGTCGTCGAACCAGGTCGTTGGGTGTAGCTCAGTGGGCAGGCTATCCACGAGATGGCTGTAATCGGCAAGGCCCATGCCGGTGTATGCTGCTGGCCTGAGGGTGGAGTTGATAGTTGACCTTGTTGAGGACAGCTGGTGGTTGAAGACTCCCATGGTTGACTTGTCATTGTGCAACCACAGCAGCTTCATTGCTTCGAGCCCTTCTGCAGACAAGTGGACAGAGAACGCTTCGAACACTTCCTCCGGTGCAGGGTAGTACTGTATTTTCTCCGGCGGGTTCAGAAACATGAGCTGAGAGCACACTAAGTAGGCTTTGTTCTGCGCAGGGGTGTAAGGTATACAACACGACATGGAAGAGAGAAACCAGCAGTTATGAGGGTGGCCGCGTGACCATGGGATGGTGACTAGCAACACTGTTTGAAATTGCCACGTCACACCCTGCGCCATCAGACACGTCCACCAACAACCCGGCCCACTCGCCACGTCACACCCCCCTACCACAAGCCACGTCACCCCCCACCCACCTAACACGCCTCGCTTCGTCATGCGCAGTGGTCACGTGTACCATTTCTAACCGCCACGTCATCCCCAACCCTCACCTTTCGCCACGTCACACCCACCTGCATCCGCCACGTCATCCCCAACCCTCACGTTCCGCCACGTCACACCCTCCTTGTCCGCCACGTCCACCAACCAGCCCCACGTGCCACGTCACACCCTCCTGCATCCGCCACGTCCACCAACAACCAGCCCCAAGTGCCACGTCACACCCTCCCACCCCATGCCACGTCACCCCCCACCCACCTGACACGCGTCGCCTCGTCACGCGCCGCTCCCGTGTACCATTCCAAACCGCCGCGTCAGCCCTAACCCTCACATTCTGCCACGTCACACCCCCCAGCATCCGCCAACAACCCGCCCTACTTGCCACGTCACACCCCCCACCAAGAGCCTCGTCACCCCCCACCCACCTGAAATGCCTCGCGCCGTCATGCGGCACTCCCTTGCACCTTTTCACGCCGCCACGTCATATCCCAACCCTCACCTTTTGCCACGTCACACCCAACCCGCATCCGCCACGTCCACCAACAACCCGCGCCACTTGCCACGTCACACCCACCCACCCCATGCCACGTCACCCCCCACCCACCTGATACGCGTCGCCTCGTCACGCGCCGCTCCCGTGTTCCCTTCGAAACCGCCACGTCAGCCCCAACCCCGCCCTTGTTGCCACGTCAACCCCAACCCTCCCCATGTGGCCCGCCACATACCGGGAATGGGTTTGTCTCCTGCAACACTAGCACTCGTGCCTTGTCCACGGCGCTCATCGGCGGCGGGGTACCAGCCATAGGCAGGGCTGCCGACCCGCCGGCATAGCTGGCAGGTACTCCACGACGCAGGCCGAGCTGTGCAAACATGGCGTACATCTCAGACCGCAGCGCCTGGAACTCCTCCCGTGTAACAAAATGCTCGTGCTCCGCACTTTCACCTAGGGCACCCATGAGCGGAGGAAAAGGGTGTGAAGAATCCCCCCTCTGGCCAAGGGGATCAACGTCTTCTGCAGCAGACCCGTGTGCCCTCACACTATCACGCTGGCGGGAAAAGGGGAGCTCAGGGAAGGGATTGGCATAACTGCCTGCCTGATGCCCGCGCGAAGGATCGGCGAGAGGGGAGACCGCCCTGCCCGGACAGGAGAAGCGTGGAGTTGCCAAAATTGGTACGAGGGTGAGGCGAGTGGGGACTGCGTGACGGGGGCGGGTGGAGGGGATTCGGATTCCTCTCCTCTTGGCGCGCCTGGTGCCGTCGCAGCGACTATGCTCGGGCCGGCCCATGGCGTGTAGTACCTTGGTGCTCTGGAGGAGAGCGGTGTAACACTCGCTCTTTCGGCAGCCTTCGTTAGATGCATTCGTTGCACGCTTACGGGCGGCCCAATGCCTGTAATGCGAGGGGCTGAGATGTAGAGGGAGCCGGAAAAAAAAAAAATAGAGTCGATCGGTTTCAAGGCGGGGTCAGACATGCATGCATATTCAGAAAGGTTTGAATCTAGATCGGGTTCAGGGTTGTACTGGTTTGAGACAAGAGGGTTTACCTTGCTTGGCAGATTCGTCGACCTTCTCCTTCCCTGCATGGGAGAAACAATGTGAAAAAAGGGTGTTTTTTGGCACGCTTTAGCAGATGGTTCAACACGTCACGCCAGTTTTATTGGACACAATGCTCACCTTTCTGCTGTCCCTTCGGTTTTGGGGCAGCCTGCGCCTTCTCGTTGCCACCTTTCCGCGGGGTGCTTTGGCGGACGATGCGTCGTTTACCGGCAGGTTCTTTCTTGCTGTTACCCACTGGAACCCCTTTGGCGCGGCCACCCTTTCCTCCTCCATCCCCTTTTGCTCCCTGGCTCCCTTGCTTTTTACCAACCCCTTCACTTTCGACCTTCACCTTACGCGCCTTCGGTTTGCCCGATGCTTCGCCGCGCGCAGCGTCAACTGCCCCGCGTTTTCGGGAAGGGCGAGTCCGGCCCCCCTCCTTCCCTGTACCACTCACCCGTCTGCCACGCCCGCCCCGTCCCTTCACTGGCGCCACATCCTCCTCCTCCTTCTCCTCCTCCTCCTCCTCCTCCTCCTCCTCCTCCTCCTCCTCCTCCTCCTCCTCCTCCTCCGCTGCCTCCTCCTCCTCCTCCTCCTCCTCCTCCTCCTCCTCCTCCTCCTCCTCCTCCTCCTCCTCCTCCTCCTCCTCCTCCACATCCTCCTCCTCGTCGTCACCCTGCTGCTCCTCCTCCTCCTCCTCCTCCTCCTCCTCCTCCTCCTCCTCCTCCTCCTCCTCCTCCTCCTCCTCCTCCTCCTCTGCCTCCTCCTCCTCCTCCTCCTCCTCCTCCTCCTCCTCCTCCTCCTCCTCCTCCTCCTCCTCCTCCTCCTCCTACTCCTCCTCCTCCTCCTCTGCCTCCTCCTCCTCCTCCTCCTCCTCATCCTCCTCCTCCTCCTCCTCCTCCTCCTCCTCCTCCTCCTCCTCCTCATCCTCCTCCTCCTCCTCCTCCTCCTCCTCCTCCTCCTCCTCCTCCTCCTCTTCGTCCTCCCCGCCATCATTCTCATCTTTTTCATCCTCCCCAACATCCGCGTCATCCTCCTCCGCTTCCTCTTCATCCTCCTCTCCCTCCGCATCCTCCTCCTCATCCTCCTCCTCCGCATCACCGGGGTCTTCATCGCCCCGTTTCGGCTTTGTTCCCATCGCTGCTTTCTTGCCTCTCCTTCCGCCGGATGCTTTTCTTGCTGCGGGTCGGCCCTTCTGGCGCAATGCTTGACCGCTCGCCTTGCCACTAGCTTCCTTGGCGCCTCGCGGTGTCCCAGCTGCCGCGCCTCCGGCGTCGTCAGCACTACCTGTCGTCTGCCGCCTCTTCACCCGCGTAATGAGGTCCCCGGGCACGGCGGTGTCATAATCGTCCTCCCCATCGCTCTTCCTCTGCCTACGCCTCCCCCGTCCACCAGAAGGTGGAGAGCCACCGACCAGCCCCACTGACTCGTGCTCCCCCACCTTGTCCTTATCCAGCACGGCTGCAGAAACTTCGACCACGGTCGGCTGGAGCAGCGTCAGATGGTGTTGCGTTGCCGCCGCCTCGGACTCCTTGGTTGCGGCATGCTCGGCGCGGGGATTGCCTCCGTGATTTCCCTCCGTCGCCGATCCCTCCATCTCCGCCGACGGGAGTGCAAGACTCGCGCTCCCTCGCCCCGGATCTTCGTTGCCGCCAGTGGTGCCGTCTTTACTCGGACCGTGCTCGGTTCCAGCAGAGGCAACATCCACATCTTTGTTCACTGTAGAAACACGCTTGTGTGGCGTTGGTTTTGGGCCATTGTCTTCCGCTTTCTTGACGGCCTCCTGTTGACCGCGCGCGACCTTTTTTGCCGCCGCTTTCTTCTTCCCAATGCCACGAGCGACGGACGCATTAGTTTTTTTTAGCGCTGCCACCACACTCCCTATCGATTTGTTTAGACGTCCTCCTTGTCGCGCGGCGGCCGGCCTGTTCCTCCTCCATTGCTTGGTTACGTGTTGCATGTGTCATGGTAATTGTAGGAGGAGCAATGTTGCAAATCGCGCGGAAGGGTTGAGCCGGTTTCAAAAGGGTTCTGCAACTGAATCCCACGATGGGATTATCGACGGTCTATCACTGTAAGGGGTTTCGAAAACCGCCGCTTCAACTAAATCTGTCATAGCAGCCACTATGCTTCGCGCTAAAGTGTGTCAAGGCAACGAGCAGCGTCAAAGTGTTGGTCCAGGGAGTAACGGAAGCAGGTGGGTGGGACACGAGGGTGGTTGGGGTGGGTTGCGAGACTAGAGAGAGTAATGTAACCCTATCAGGCTATATTGGACGGTGTACGTGTAGCCACCCTAGCATAAACCCACCTACCGCTCGATCTCAGCTGCTCAATGGCTGAAGTACCTCTTGGGTGATGACTGTGTTGCGGGGGGAATCGTTTGAGATGCGTCGGCCAATCACTGTTGCCAACGCATAAATCACTAAATTTCATTCAAACATACAACAATGCATTTCATCAAACTCTAAGTTGCAAATGGTTTACCACGGGGTTGGGGTAAGTTAATCGGTGATTCTTACGTCACACACACAACGACCGTCCAGAATTATTACTTGTGACAGATGTACTGTGCACTTTTAGGCTTTGCCACAATGGTTTAGGGCCAGCGGACGACATTCTAACACGATTATCACTAGTAACAAACGTGAATCCGTTGTGGTATGGTGTTGGATTGGCATCCATTCTTGCACAGACATTAAACAAGGTGCTTAGAAGGAGTTGTATGAAGCACAGGCCCAACGCATAAGCGTAGATGCGTTATTGACAGCCATGGTTAGATTGTGCGACGATGCAGCGTTCAGGCCTGCGGGTTGCGCGACATGGTGAATCCGTTGTGGTATGGTGTTGCATTGGCATCCATTCTTGCACACACATTAAACAAGGTGCTTAGAAGGAGTTGTATGAAGCACAGGCCCAGCGCACACGCGTAGATGCGTTATCGACAGCCATGGTTAGACTGTGCGACGATGCAGCGTTCAGGCCTGCGGGTTGCGCGACATGGTGAATCCGTTGTGGTATGGTGTTGCATTGGCATCCATTCTTGCACAGACATTAGACAAGGTGCTTAGAAGGAGTTGTATGAAGCACAGGTCCAACGCACATGCGTAGATGCATTATCGACAGCCATGGTTAGACTGTGCGACGATGCAGCGATCAGGCCTGCGGGTTGCGCGACATGGTGAATCCGTTGTGGTATGGTGTTGCATTGGCATCCATTCTTGCACAGACATTAAACAAGGTGCTTAGAAGGAGTTGTATGAAGCACAGGCCCAACGCACAAGCGTAGATGCGTTATCGACAGCCATGGTTAGACTATGCGACGATGCAGCGTTCAGGCCTGCGGGTTGCGCGACATGGTGAATCCGTTGTGGTATGGTGTTGCATTGGCATCCATTCTTGCACAGACATTAAACAAGGTGCTAAGAAGGAGTTGTATGAAGCACAGGCCCAACGCACACGCGTAGATGCGTTATCGACAGCCATGGTTAGACTGTGCGACGATGCAGTGTTCAGGCCTGCGGGTTGCGCGACATGGTGAATCCGTTGTGGTATGGTATTGCATTGGCATCCATTCTTGCACAGACATTAAACAAGGTGCTTAGAAGGAGTTGTATGAAGCACAGGCCCAACGCACAAGCGTAGATGCGTTATCGACAGCCATGGTTAGACTGTGCGACGATGCAGCGTTCAGGCCTGCGGGGTGCGCGACATGGTGAATCCATCGTGGTATGGTGTTGCATTGTCATCCAACATTGCATGGAGCACAGAACGAAGCACATTGCTCTCCGCTACTTCCTTGCTCGTGAGCTGCAGCAGCGTGGTCAGCTGCGTCTTGCGTACGTGGCCTCTGAGGCCAACACTGCTGATATCTTCACCAAGGCGCTTGCGCCTTGTGATTATCAGCGCTTTTGTACTCAGCTGGGTCTTGTGCCTGCCTTGCCTCACTTGCTCACCTCTTGACCTTGCTTGTACTGTTACATATATTTATACACCTGCTCTTGCTTGTCTAGCCTTTTATATATATATGTACTCCTGCATGTGAACTGGCCTTGTGGCCTTGACCTTGTGCTCGGAATGTGTGGTGACTTTGTGATCCACCCTGAGCTTGCTTTGCTTTGCTTTGCTTGACTGGTCTTGTGACCCCTTGTACTCCCCCACTTTGCCTATGGGGGTGTGTCAGAACATTATAGCTTATGCTTTTGTGTAGGCTGTAGTGGGGTAGCCGATATGGGGTACAGCCCAATTAGGGTTAGTACTTGTACCCAACTCTTTCATAGTGCATTCATTCTCGTTCTAGTTTTCACAATATATAGATTAAAATAACTGTCGAATATCTATAACGAAGCTCGCTTTAGCATGCTGATGACTTTAAATCAAATTTCCTTCGCATTCACACCCTGCAGGCTGCGCGTCCAGTCAGCATGTGCTGTCAGAAGCGCCTAGTGACTCATTTTGAGTGAATGTGCTGGCAGGGAATCTTTCCCTACCAAGTAGCGAGAGATTTTCACCCACAACCAAGGCTTTTGCTAGGTTTGGGCGTGTCTGAAAACACCAAAGTAAAAAATCGTTCCGTCTGACGATCAGACGGGCATATTTTTCTGGTCTGATTTTCCAGACGAATGTTGGAGCTTAGTCTGATTTTACAGACTTGGCATAGTCTGATTTAGCTAACACCCTTGTCTAGCATAATCACGCGCCCCTGGCGCGGCACTGACAGCTTGCTAGCTAACAGGCGTGTGGCTGTTGAGGGGCATGCACGTGGCATTGAGGTGCTGCGAGGGATCAGGTTGGGTGGAGGGACGCGAAAAGGAAGGGGGGGCTGGGCTGTTGCGAGACTTTACGAGGGTCATGGGGAGGGGACCCAAGGGTGGGGGGAAGGGGGAGAAGGGCTGGACCAATCCCTATTTTATCAGGGTAAATGATCCCGATACCGTGATTATCAGGGTGGTTTTTGGTACTAACACTGATGCCTTAGGGTAATTTTTTTTGGACCTTGATTTTCCCTGAGGAGCCATGGTTTACGGTTAAGGCACACTGTCGCCTCAGGGTTGCCGATCCTCTTATCGAGTTTTACCCTGAAGCGAGTACCAGCCTACCCCGACCCCCCCCCCCTCGCCCCTTCCCCTATCCCCCCTACCCCGTAACCCGGGATTCCCGATTGTTACTTTCGAAACTGTAAATTTCAGCACGACATTACCGTATTCTCCCGGATAAAACACCCTAGGGTATTATGAAAACCACTGGGAAAAAATGGGGGGGGTCTCTTCAAAGGAAAATTGTTTATGTAATTGTTGAGGTCGGAATCGCGCACGGTGGTGCGTTGTTATGTTAGTGTACCACTCAGTTCTTGACTGGTTTGGTCACGTGTCTATGCCTCATGCGAGAAGGTGATTTTCACCTCTTGGGCCACTTGCAGTGGAAGATTCGCTTTGTTAGAATCTAGCAGCAGGAATGATGCATTGAACAGAGATGTGGGTACATATGCTAACCCTAATTTGGGTTGTACCCCTTATGGGCTACCCCACTACAGCCTACACAGCACAAGCATGATTATAGTTTGACACACCCCTATAGGCAAAGTGGGGGAGAGCAAGGGGACACAAGACCAGTCAAGAGAAGCAAAGCAAGCTCAGGGTGGATCACAACGTCACCACACACACTGAGTACAAGCAAAGGGCCACAAGGCCAGTTCACATGCAGAGGTATATATGCAACAACACCATCACAGTGAGCTCTACCTAGCAAAGCAAGCAAGCATGTATATATATAGATCATTGTACAAACAAGGTCTACAGCAAGTGAGGAAAAGTGGGCACAAGGCCTAACAAAGTGCAGAACCGCTAATGATCACCAGACGGAAGTGCCTTGGTGAATATATCAGCAATGTTGGCCCGAGTGGCCACGTGAGCAAGATGAAGCTGACCTCACTGCTGTAACTCTCGAGCGAGGAAGTAACACAGAGCGATGTGCTTCGTTCTGTGCTCCAGTCTGTGCTCCTCACACAAGGCAATGGCGGCCTTGTTGTCTACGTACAGCACTGGAGGAGAACGAGGCCGCTCTCCCAGGTCTGTCAGCAGGAAGGTGAGCCAGCGTAGCTCCGTGCAGCCATGGTTGTGGCGTAGATCTCAGCCTCACAACTAGAGCCGAGAACAGAAGACGAGGGTGTAGACCGCCAAGAAACAGAGCCAGAGCCAAGGCTGAAGGTGTAACCCTGTGACGACCGCTGCGTAGCCAGGTCGTCAACCCAAGAAGCGTCCGAGTGCCCAGTGAGGACAACTGGGCTCCGCCCTCCAAGCACGAGCCCCATGCCCGATGTACTGCACAAGTAGCGTAGTACCCTCTTAGCCAGAGGGGCAGTGCGGTAGGGGAAGAGACGGTAAAAGGGAACTGACTCGTCGAACGTGACATCCTGAGAGGGGAAGACACGGCGCGAGGTGGGGTGGTAAAACTGCCAACCAGGCGCGTCAAGGATAGAGCCAAGGAAGACACAGGGAACAGCGCGGGCAGAGAGCTTGTCCGCCGTGGTATCGCGGACAAACGCACGAGCACCCCAGACCTGGAAACGCGACGCATCGCCAACCTTCCCGTCCACAGCAG